TTTGGTCCTATTATAAACAATTTCAATCAATTTTAGTCTCACCGTTATAAAACTAACAAATTAACGGAAATTGTTGACGTGGACGTAATGTAGGTGATGTAACAGCTGACATGTACAATTATACACGGTCATATTATCACATGAACATGTATATTTCAGTGTATAATTATATATGATCATATTGTTGCACGACCATGTATAATTTTACACGGTCGTGTATTTTTCTGTTTTAGTTTAAATTTTTATTTTTTTGTTATATTTTTTTAAAAAAATATATTTTGAATTTAGAACAATTGATATAGTTATATAGTGGAATCAATAATAATTTTAATATAATTAAAATGTATCAATTTTAATTCAAATATAAAAATTTGTAAGATATATTCTTTTGAAATATTTTGACTAAAATTCTATTATTCATAAAAAAAAATTATCTTACAAACATCCAATTATACAACTATTTTTTATTTTTGTATATTATAGTACTATTAAAAATTAATTTATTATTTCAATACAATTATATATGTCTATGTTGAAATTGTTTGAAATTGTATTGAAATGTAAAATTAATTTTTAATACTATAATATATGTCTATGTTGAAATTGTTTGAAATTGCATTGAAATGTAAAATTAATTTTTAATACTATAATATACTCCGTAGGATGTAGTAGAAATAAAGGTAAAATGACTAAACTAACCTTACTAGTATTTTATAATATAAAGGTAATGATATTTGTGTAATATATTGAAATTTTGAAGGGTATTTGTAATGTTAGATAGATAGTACAATTACTAAAAAAAATGAATATTTTGTTACGAGACAGACCAAAATAGAAAAAATGGATAGATTGTTAAAGGAAGGAGAGTACAAAAATAAAAAATAGTTGTGTGATTGAATATTTTTAAGAGAAATTTTTTTTTGTAAAGAGTAAAATTTTAGACAAACTCTTCCAAAAGAATATACTCGATAAATATTTATATTTGAACTAAAATTGATAAATATTAATTATATTGGGATCAAAATTGATTTTTCCTTAAAAATAATTATATATTAAAATTAATATAATTAATTAATTTAATTTAAATTAAAATTAAATTAAATTGTATAATAAAAAAAAAAAGGACGAATGAAGAAATGAAAATGATAAGTTGGAGGGTAGGGGTATATATGTACATAAGCTCTACATATACTAAAATTTGTGTGAATTTTTTAAATATTACACGTATTATTTCAATAACAATTTTTTTTTTTATTTCCAATTTTTGTATTTTAAAGTTTTTACAGAATTTTTTTTTATCTTAAACATAATTCATATTAGGTCCAAAAAAGAACTGTCAAAATTATGTCACTTCAAAATCATATCAAATGGGTGATTTTTTATTTTTTTATTTTTAATTCGAACACGATTATCAATAATAGGTAAGGATTTAATAATAATAAATACTACTGGCAAACAAAATTTAAGAATGTAGTTTAGTCAGTGAAAACATCTGTTTACTTGTCAAATTTTATTTTGGTTTTCTTATTTTTTTTTCTCCAAAAATATTTATATTAAATTTTAATTTTACATTAAAACACCATGCTAATACATATTTGTATCACATCAAACACTTATTTCAATTCAAAATTTTACTATTCAAAATTAAAACAAAAAATTATATAAACTTACATGTAAACAAAATTTGTTACTTTTAATTTTAATTGATTTAAACAGTAATTTGAATTTAATTGTGTATAAATTTAAATACTATATATAAGAGAGGGGCTATAATTTAGGACAAAGATTTAGTCGCAATTAACAACAGCAATAAAAAACTATCCATAACAGTCATTTTTTTCCAAATATACCTTCAATTTGCAATTACTAAAAATCTCACCCAATAAGGTAAATTATTTATGACCATAAACATATACACACATACATAAACATATTTATATATATGTCCAAAAACACAAACAATCAATATCAACCAAAAGACAATCAAAACAAAAAGAAAAAAAACAATTTCTGCCATGGACAAGAGGAGGACCACCGCCACCGCCACCGCCGCCATGACTCTGGTGGTGCTGTTGTTCGCCGGCGAGGCTAAGGCGAGCTTCAAAAGCTGCATTGGGCCATGTCTGCTCGGCTGCCTCGCCGAACAGAACAAAGTCCTATGTGGTGTGAAATGCCTCGGCAAATGCATCATCGGCGGCGGCGGCGGCGGCGGCAGCGGCGGAGGCGGCGCCGGCGGCTGCAGGCCGGAGCTCAATTATTGCAAGCTCGGCTGCGCTATGGATAAGTGTTCTCACACTTTGACTCATATCGCCACCAATGGTAAAATTTATTTATTTTTTATTTTTATTTAATTTAAATATTAAATAGTATTTTGATGTGTATTTATTTATTTATTTATTTTTATTGATGGTAGGTTACGATGTCGACCGGGTCGACGCAATGGATGCTTGTGTTAGTTTATGCGGAGCTGAAGAATGTGGGATGATTCCGGCGGCGGTTGATTGCCCGTTGTCTTGATTTATTATTGTTAATTGCGATGGAAATTATGTTAGAATAATGTTATTATTATTCTAAATGTTTATATGTTAACTATTATGTTTATTTTGTTAGAGATTATTGAAATAAGGAATGTCTATTGTTCATTGTAAAGAGCGGAAGCTCTTTTTATTGTTCAATAAAGTTTAAGAAGTTATTTATGAGATTGTTTACTTTATATATATATATATATATATTTTGTTATGATTATCATAAGTATTATTTAAAAAAATTTAAGATATATATATTAATGCAATACATAATAATATGAATATGAATATTCAATTAACATATAATAGTTAATTTATTATTATTATTTCTACTTGTCTCAATATTTATCCAACTAAATCTACATAATATAACTATACATAAAATATTTTTGATATTATTGACAAAATATTTTATAGTATTTAGCATAAAAAAATGCATCTATAACATAATATTCTTTCCGTCCATTAAAATCAGTCAATTTGGACTCGGCACGGGAATTAAGAAAAATGAATATTTTATTGAAAAAATGATAGATAATTAAGGGTATTTTTGAAAATTTAGTTAAAAGTAAAGTAAATGAAGAGAGAGAATATAATATAGTTAGTAGTATCTGTTGTAAATAAGTGTTGAATGAAGAATAATAATTAAATGTTGATTTGTAAATTACTAAGCGATCACTACAAAAAAAAAAAAAAATATATATTTGTAACGGAATTCCGTCACTAAAGATCACGTAGCTAACGTAATTCCATCATTAATTCTGTCTAATATCATTAGTGACGGAAAAAATGAATTTAATGACGAAAAAATCTCGTTACAAAAATGATATTTTCTTATAGTGGATAAACTATTTTATAATAATTCTTAAATTGAAATTTATTTAGAAATTTATTTGTTCTTTTAAATTTTTTTCCATATATTTTTCCATAAAAATTAATATACTATAATATTCATTATTTTTGTATTCTATCCACAATTCCTTATACTTTACCTAAAAAAAAAAAAAAAAATTAAAAAAATATCACAAAACAAACACATTTCTTTCTAATATATATCTATTTAAAGTTATTTATTTTTTATATAAATAATTTATGTTAGTTATATATAGATATATATTTCTTCTTAAATTAATCATAACAACAAATCAAAATTTAATTATTATTCATCATTTAACATTTATTTACAAAATTTAAATATTACATTATATTTTTATTTACTTTAAATTATAACTAAAATTTAAAAAATTCCGTCTAACTATTTTTATTTTTATTTTATCATTTTTAAATAAAATATTTATTTTTTAAATTTTCATACCAAACCCAAGTGGATTAATTTTACCGGACGAATAAAATTTTATTAATTTGAATATATAATTTTTTTTATAAAATCATAGATTTTGAGTACATTTTGTCAAACAAAAAAATACAAATTGAAACAATCAATTACACTCAAATATGAAATACCTTTGCTTTTTAATTTCTACATTACTTTTACTTTAATATGCAAAATAGACAATTACACTATTTTATTATTATATATTTATAAAATGCCAATTTACGTTAATTTGTATGCAAAAGTTAAATGAAAAATTTACTATAAGACGGACGGAGAGAGTATATATTAAGATGCCCAAAAAAACACCTATAATTTGCAAACTAAAGTCATTTGCATACCAAGGGCTTGTTTGTTTATTGTTTTATTTTGATTTTTTTTTTTTAATGTGAGGTATATAGAATTGAATCGATAATATAAAAAATAATATTTTAGGTTGAATATTGATTTTTGTAAGATAATAAAATACTACCCCTCCCATAAAACCAGTACTATTTGTGTTTTGCATTATTTACTTAACATTAAAAATATTTTTATATTTGTATAATTTACTTCACAAATATCATTATATTTGTATTATAAAATACTAATAAATATATTTTTGTCTTTTTCTTCTTAATTTGTATAGTGTATTGGTATAATAATTAATATTTAAAGATTAATACAACAAAAAAAACTCATGTACTCCTCTCATAAGACGCTCTTCTTATAATAGGGAAGTAGTTCATATGTTAAAAATCGTTTTAAAAAAAATTTTAAAATAATAAACTCCAAATACCTTTTAAATTTTATTTTATTTTATTTAAAAATGTTATGTTATTCTTATTTTACCATTTTTAAAAATTATATTTTACCAATTCTTTGATTTTTTATTTTGTGTTTGCATAGTTTCTATTAAAAAAAATTAAAAAATGTACTAGTATTTTTTTAAAAAGAATATAAAAATTGGTTTGTAACGAAAAAAAATAAATACTATATAAAAAAAGGCCTTGAATTTCCAATTCAAATTAACCGCCATAACCCAAATTGGATCGAATATAACCAGCCGGGCTGGACCGGGTTTAATCCAGACCCGGATCCAGGAAAATTCCAGGAGGATCCGGGTGACGAAATGGATACTTCTTTCTATCGTTGATTAGGTCACCGTATTTGGGAGTGTTTCCGTATGGGCGTAGAAGAAGTACAGAGAGCGTCAATGGTACTACTTTATCTCCAATGGTGATTTTGGTAATTGCTGTTGCTCTCTCCGCACACACATCTGATTGATAGGTGACCTTCGATCTCACTGAGGAACACCGACATCAGGATAGATAGTGTGCCATAGTTGTTGGTTTTTATGTGAATCTAGGGTTTTGGGAAATTTCCGATTGCGGGAGCAGCTTGGTGTTAATGGCTGATGAGGAGATTGAGTACGAGAGCGATCCGGAGGAGGGGAAGCTGTCGTTGAAGTTGCGGAGGAGAGAAGCGAGCGACGATGAGGAAGAAGACGGTGGCCGCCGGGCGAAACCACCGCGAAGAGTCGATGATTCCGACGGGGAATCTGAAGGCGCTGCGGCGGAGTATGAGGATGAAGTGAGGGAAGGAGAAGGAGAGAGGGAGAGAGATTATGATTCGGATGAGGAAGAGTATTTGGATGAGGAAGAAAGCGGCGGCGGTGGTGTGGAGGTTGTGGCTGTGGAAAGATTGGATGGTGGAGAAGCTTCCGGAGCAGTCTCAAATGAGTTAACGGAGAAGGAAGTGAGCAATGATGCAGAGGAGATTGAAATTGAGGATAGTTTAGTGGTAGATGGTGAGCACGAGGGAGACAGGAAGGAGATAGAGCCCTATGCCGTGCCTACTGCTGGAGCATTTTACATGCACGATGACAGGTTCCGCGACAATGTCCGGGGCCGGAATAGGTATTGGATGTTCCATTAGTTCTACATTTGCTGTATAGCATAGTTGGAAAGCCTAATGTGTTTTCTTGAAACATAAAGTTTTCTTTTAGTGTAGATTATGTGGGAGTATTAGTGATATAGTTTTGGGGCGGTGGGAATAGTAAAATTTTGAATTGAAATAGATTTTTAAGGTGGCAATGGAAATAGATGTTTAATGTAATTTATTGGAAAATTGATTTTTTTTTTTTTTTTGTGATATTTTAAATGAAAGTAAGTCTTCGATAGGATGCTTTTTTTAGGATGGTAAATAGAACAAGAATGATTTGAGACCACAAACAATTGCACGCTTGACTGGAGTTTACTTGCTCTGTGTTATGTTTTAGTTTGCAGTACTTGAGAGGATTTTTAATCCATGGTTGATAGACAAGAAACAGATTTTCAACAGGATTATCAAAACCCACTTTGGATCCACAATTTGCTGCCTTAATCCATTTGGCTGCATCTGGCCTTCTAATTTAGAGTTGTTTTTCCTTAGTATTGGTTTGAAACCTTCTTCTTTTGATTTCTTAGGAAACAAACTATATAACACTGTTCTATTGGAACGTACCCAGAAACAGGATTTGTAGAGCTTTGAGAGGTAAGTTGATGTAAGAAGCACATTCACATGCTAGGCTGGGATGTTGAATAATATTATGTCTAAGTCAGAAGATTTAAGTGGAAACTCAGCCTTTCGAGAAGCAGGCAGGAATAAATTGTTGTGTTTAATTTATAATGGACTGCAAAAGAACCTTGGGTTTGGTTATGAGGAACCTTGGGTTTGATTATGAGGTCAAATCAATTCCTTATTGTAGGCTGAATATATCCTGTTGATTTGAATGGAAAAAGATGGCTAATTTGGAAATTACGACTAGTTTATTTGTGACTGACTCTAAGTTTTTTCTGTACATGTATCTATTTTATTTATGTGACTAGTTGAGTTCTTAAATTCTATTGAGTAATCTCAAGTTCATACTATGTTCATGTTCAGGATGTATGTTAATATGATTTTGAAATGCAACGACATGATTATGTATTATATGTAGTTTTTTAACTTGCATCGACAAGCATCCCCACTGCTAATTTATTTGAGATTTCTCCAGAAAATAATAAAACTAAATTTTGTTCTTTCACAGGCGAACGCTTGGAGGAAGAAGGTTATGGGAATCCAAAGATGAGAAGAAATGGGGACATGATAAGTTTGAGGAGCTGACTATGCAGGAAAGGTATCATGAGGAGGTGAGTATTTACAACTTCTGGCAATGCGTCTTTGTGTCTTTTTAATTCGTCTCCTTATAAGAGCTGTTTTTCAGGCACGAAGGGGTTCTAAGGGCCATTACAGAGGTCGAGGTAGAAACAGAGGCTCAGGCCGTGGCTATGCACAAGGAAACAGACCCAGAGAATATAATGATTATAATATCACCCAGCCTAACAACAATCCAAAGATTGTTCCTAAGAGTGTCAGGGGGCGGGGGCCTCGAAGATATCAGCCATCTTACAAGAACAGTAATGAAGCACCTGTTGCACAAAAGTATCAGTGAGTAAAGATCTCCTAGTATTTGTTTCTTTTGTTGCCTTAGTCAGGCTCATGCTCATGCTATTTCTCATTTGTAGATCTGGAAAATATGTGGAGAAGCATTCAAATGTTCGTTCTGAGAAGACCACCCAAGCTGTATCGAATTCAGAAACTGAGGTGGTTCAGCCCAGGAAACAAGTAGCCTCCAATCTCAACATTGCTTCTCCTCCATTTTATCCAACTGGTTCTTCCTCAAAAGATAACATTGGGCCACTTAAGAGGGATGTCCAGACTGGTACAATCAATCAAAATGGTCAGCAATCAATACTGGATGAGGGTTCTAACATGGCCAGGCCGATGAGGGGAAAGAGCAGAGTGGATTCCATTGGTTTTAATAAACTGTACATTGATGGTTCTGCATCAGCAATGACTGGGAAGCCGCAGACCACTGTGCAAATGTCAGTGACTGGTTCGGCAAATATGAACCCTACTCAACCTCAGTTGAGGGGTCAAGGAAGAGGAACAAATGTCACAGCACATATATCCTATCAACCGGATCCATCTAGTAACCAAGTGAACAAGGCCCCTTCATCCGGCCAGCCTCAGAACTTCCAAAGGAACACTGGTCAAAGTCGTAGTCAATCTACAGCTCAAGGTTCCATTCAGCAATTTACACAGCATTTGCCTGGTGGGCATCGAACTTCTTCCCCACCATCGGCTGCTGGCTCAGTTAATGCATTTGAATCTGGAGAGATGCAATCTGCTTCAGATTCAAATCAGGCGAAGTCTGCAGGAGTTTCCAAAGGAAAAGGGGTTGTGCAAAGCAGCGGGAAGGGCTCCTTCATGTATAGTGGAGCTCAGGTTATTGGGGCTACTGGTAGTATGGCTGGTTCCGACCAAAACTTCCCTGCTTTCTTGCCAGGTAAGATGCTAACAGTTATGCTTCTTTAAAAATGTGAATTTTTGTGGTATGTTTATCATGTATAATTTTAGAGCTTTCTATATCATTAAAAAAAAAAAAAAATTGGCATAAATTGCTGATGTTTCCATTTATTTTTTGGCATGTATTTTTTTGAGAAATTTAATTATAGGGGTTATATTTTGGTTCATTTTGTTTTTCTTTTATGATGAGTTATTTGGTGGAAATTTTCAGTCATGCAATTTGGGGGCCAGCATCCTGGAGGAATTGGCGTTCCTGCCGTTGGCATGGCTTTCCCGGGATATGTTGGTCAACCACAACTCGGTCATGGGAGTCCTGAAATGACTTGGTAGAAACTTTAGCACCATCCAATATTAACCACTGCTCTACCATAACTTGTGTGAAACTTTGCTGTTCAAACACGATCACAACATGACTTTCATCCATCTTGTAGTGCTTTTACCCGTTCTTTCTGTAATCTTAGAATATTGTTCTTTTTTAATGTCTATAATACAGGTTACCAGTCTTAGCCGGTGCTGCTGCTGGAGCATTAGGTGCAGCATATTGTCCTCCATATATCACCGTTGATGGTTCATATAATCCTCGGCCATCTGGACAGGCACCTTCAACAACTACTTCAAGGTAGATGCTTCCTTTGTCTAATGACATATTCTCTTATACTAGCTCCTTACTTTTATTAACTTCCCTCCACTATGCGATATCTCTCTTTTTTGTTTACATATTGTTTTTCCTAATCACCGGCGGAACTTGCATTGCAGTAAAGAAACTACTACAGCAAAAGGCAATAATGATTGGAAGCCAAAGAGTCCAGGTTTATAAAATGCACCTTTGTTTTACATAAATTGTTGCACAAGAACCTTACGATTTTGTTGTAGAAGATATTTTCCCAAGGAATTAAAAGTTCAAATGAATTGATATGCATTTCTTTTTTCCCTGCACAGAGATTGCAAGCGATGATTTTGGGCAGAGGCAAAAGAATCCGCGAAGGCAAGTGGTGTTTATTTAACATGTACTGTCGCACTTACATTGCTCCGTGCTTATAACTTATCTGGATTTGCTTACAGATACACAGAGATGAAGTTTGATCAGTGAAGTTATGGAAGTTGTGAAATCCTTTGGAATAAAAAGACCAAAAAAATGTATCTCTTCCATCGATTGGCTTTAGCAGAGAGTTTCTTGGGTGTGGTTTTGGTAAAGCCTTACTACAAAGCCCTTTGTGTTTCTCCAGGTCTTGACCTGGACCACTTTGGGCTACTGCATAGTTTGAGATAATTTAGGTAATGAATCTTCTATTACACTTGCTCGGCCTTCCAGCAATTACAGTTATGTTACATGATGATGTATTCCTAATCCTTTATGTTCTCGTGGTACTTATCAGATATATCTTAAAAAACACCTGATTTCGGGGCTTATTAAACGCAGCAGAATGGCGAATGGCATCCCTAGTTCTTTTATGATGTAAGTGTACAAATACTAGAGTACAGCCTAGACTCGTTTTCATTTCTGGGTGTAGGTATAAATGGTGTATATTGCCTGTTGCAGGTTATTTATCTTGCATTAGATTTTTCCTTGAGCGTACGAGATGATTGTGACTGGACGAGCTCCTGGTGATATGTGGGAATAACAAGTATTGTTGTGCAGCTTTCGCTTGTTTTGTGAAACTGGGTTTGTGTTGCTTTCATAAATGGTGAGCATTTTCCAATTCTATCCTTGTTTGGAGAATTTGCAAATGGCATTTACCCTTGTGTTATCTATTCTTTTGCTTGTTCTGCGTAGTGTCAAATATTATCTGGCTTGGGACTAAAACTGCTTATATCTTTTTATTGTCTCTATGGAATAGTGCTTTATGTGCAATATTTTGTGTACTAGCGTGGGATATTAGATCAATGAGTTAAAGGTGCATCAACATAAGTTACTCGATTTTAATATGCGCTAAAGAAAAGCTTGGAAAGCAAGTAGTTACTCAGATGTCTTGATGAAAATTATACATGTTAGATCTCCATAAATGATTATACAGCATGATGCAAATATGAATACTTACTCAAAGCAACCTAATTGAGTTATTGTACATCTGATGTGCTATTTTTCGCAGAAAGCATCCGAACGATAGTGTTGTAATGCCGAGATGTGATCAAAATTTGTGTATCTGAAACAATAAAGACAATATATCAATACATGTATGTCAATAGCAAAACCTAGCAGTATGATGTCGCAAGGGAATTGCTAAAATTTACTCGTGCTTTAGTATAAGCTTCAAAAACAATCAGTGAAACCGAAGATGCTAACTCAATAGTTTAATCTACTCTCAATCCTACTGAGATCGGCACCACTTTCCTCTCCATCTAGATATGTAGTATGGACAACACTGAGATACTATTAGAAATTGGTATTTTGAGGTGAGGCAAACGAAAATGATAAAATGAGGACTTTCAATTAGGCCGAATGAAATATTCTCTTATCCTATCAAGCATAGTAAACAAAAGACGTAAATAATGACGTAGTCAAGAAGATTGCCAAACCTCGAAACCCAACTACTACAATATTAAAAGTGAAGATGCTCACCTTAAAGATCGCTGAGCCAAAATTGCTAATTTCCATCCATTCCATCGCACTCGCTCAAGTTGCCGCAAACATTACACTCCATAACGGTAGATCCTCGAGAATCAGCTGCGGGCAGGGGAGCCAACGTGCCCCCACAATCGTCTCTACCGCACATATACCTTACAAAGAAATAAGCATGTGGAAAATCATCGTTTCCATTACCAACATTGTCACAATCTTCAGCCTCTAAATCATCAGCAACATCCTCATCCATATCTTCATCCACCTCGGAAACTCCTCCCTCCCCATCATCATCATTGTCCGACCAATTCGCCTCGACTTTGCACCGGTCACAATTACACGTAAAGTCGTAATCCTCCTTCAACCTCTTTTGCCTCTCGGCATACTTAAGATTGACCGGAAAATAACTCAGGCAAATCTCCCTCCCGGCGGGGAGGTCGTGGATGACCCTTACAACCATATCAGTATTCCGGAATTCGGACTTCGAATCCACATAATCGAACCGGCAGGCATTCGGGAGGCAGTCGTGGTTGAAAAACGACGCTCTCGGATATATGCCGTATGCCCTAACAGACCTTTCCTTCCCCTGCTCGAAGGGCTCCATTAGCCCGAATGCATTAACCTTGTCCTTAGCCAACAATGCAGATGTCAGCTCTACTGAAAACCCGAATTGCCCCAAATTTGATGCGGCAGGCAAAATCGACGAAATTAACGAATGTAGGAAAACGGATGCATCGTCGATGAAAGCTTCACCTTGAAGCGAAAGGAGAGTCCGGAAATCAGGCGGCGCAACTGTTGCGAGATTGTAGGCGGAGACCAGAAATCGAGCTTGCAATAGGCGGTCGTGGTCGATCGCCGGAGAATCGCCGGAGCGGAGGCGAGATAGAGCCTGGCAGACGAATTGAGTGTGAGACGTCGACAGAGCGGCCGATCGGCAGTCCGGCGAGCAGAAAATCGAAGCGGTGGAGCAATTAGGGCACGAAACCAGCGTCGGTGAGTGGGGAAGAATCGTCCTGCAGCAGTGGCCGCAGTAATTGGCGCCGCCGTGAGGGACGGCGGAATAAAGGACGATAGGCGAGTCTCTGAGGACGATTTCTCCGCCCTTCAACGGACGGGAAGAAACCATTGCCCTTCCTTTGTTCGCGATCTCCACCAGTTTAATTGACCCATTGTCGTTCGCCATTCCGCTAGGGTTTTGAAACGGAATCGAGAATTAAGGATAGAGCTTCCGAAGGCAATAAAGAGTAGTCTAGTAATAAAAAGCTCACCGGAAAACCAAACGTCAGGGAAATACTCGATTGCTTTGTGGGTGAGCAGATGACTCCCGGCGGAGGCGGAGGCGGAATGGGAGTGATCGGATTTCAGGTTTGATTAAACCCTAAGTCGGCGTTTGGATGGAAGGAAGCCTTTTTGTGAATAATAAACTTAAGTTAAAAACTTAAAAATAAAAACTGGTCACCGTAAATTAATACTCCTACACTTTATTTTATTTTATTTTTGTCTGTGTTTTATGCATTTTTAAGCACTCCTCTTTTTTCCCGTAACAAAGTTGTCCTTAAATTTTTGCAATTAAATTTTTGAATATTAATATTATAATGAATTATAATGAAAAAAATTATATAATATAAAAGTAATAACATTTGTGTAATATAGTGTAAGTAATACCTCTATTAGTATTATATAATATAAAATTTAATATTATTTTTAAAATATTACATTAATATATATTTATATCATATTAAATAATTATTTTACGTCAAAATTTTATTATTCAAAATCAAATTTTTAAATTAAAATCTCACAGATAAATATTTTTTCTGATTTGTTTCTCCAATTTTTTATAACAATATATTATTCTATTTCAATATTAAATATAATTACTATTCAAATAAAATAATAATAATAAAAAAAACTAAAATGAATAATTCAAAATGTCAAAATGTTTGTTAATTTTCCTATTTATATTTATGTTTATTTTGGTTTACAATTGAAACTTTTTCTTTGGCTTTTAATTTGAATATTATTTGCTAAGATATTTTATTAGATAAAATAATATATTTTTATTAAAAATAGTGTGTTATTTTGTAAAAAAATTTGAAATATATTTTTATATGAAGTACTCTTCTTTAACTCAAGCATTATGTAATTAATAAATAATTAAGAAGTGTATTAGTGAAAATAATTATGATGAAATAAAAATAATTATTGATTAAAATTAAAATGACTAAATAGTTTAATTAAAATAAAAAACTATAAATCTATATTTTAAAATGTGATTAAAGTGTATAATTATATTTAAAAAAAAAAGAAAAACAAATTACGTCAGACAAACGAAAATAGAAAGAACGGACAAATTAAGTAGTTAGGATGGAGGGAATATAAAAAATATAGTGTATAGAGTATAAAATAAAAGTGTGTAATATATTTTTTTGAGAGGAAATGTGGGTTTGTTTCTTTTCCAAAATTTTTTTAACATATTTCAAAGTAATTAGTATATTATATACATTCATTATTTTTATATTATCAAAAACTATTTTTTAAACCAAAACACAAATTTGTTTATTTTTTCTTTCAAATAAAACTATTTTGTCAAAATGATTTGAATGCATATTTTTTTAATGTGAAGTATAGAAAGTTGGGTAGATAATATAAAAATAATTAATATATGTGATATATTAATTGTTTATTTTTGTTTTTTGAAAAATGTATAAAAAAAAATTTGCAAAAAGAACACATTCTAGTTTAAATTTTATATTTAAATAATATTTTAATATTATATTTTGTAAGAAAAAAAAAATTTTAAAAAAATATATAATCCAAATAATAAAATTAAAAAAAAATGACCACACAAAAATACTTAACAGCTTAAATATAATTAATGAATTAATTGAAAAAATAAATACGAATTAATTGAAAAAATAAATACAAAATAGTATTAAAATTATACCAGGAGTATATTAAACTTAAATATAGCAAAAAATTTTAATAGTCATTGAAAAGTGTTTTAACTGTGCTTTTTTTATATAATAATAATAATAAATTAATATACAAATATTTTAAGTAAATATATAATATAGTACATTTAGAAAAAAAAAAAATGTAAACTAGTATTGAAAACACACACACACCCACATGCTTTAGTATTTTTGAGTTTTTTTTTTCCTTACTTTCTAACATACAATATTTCAATTTTTCTTAAAAGAAATATTAATTGTGATGCTAATTTTCCATATAAATCACATCTAATTTATATATATATATATATATATTTAGAAAAATAAATAAATAAATAAAATTGACACTCCAAGTGAAGATTCAAACCTCATTTGTCACAGATCCAAACTGCATCCTAACTGAACATGACCTGAGAATTCCTCATTTGACCTTATCATTTCCCATTTTGAACTCTTCAAATTCAACACATAACTCTTGTGGGCCCCACCAAACCTATCTGACCCTATCACTAACACATTTCCCTGCCACGCTGTCACAAACGACACCGTTTTGCGCACTTCACCTGGCACCTCACCCACGCTCCGCCACGTCATTCCCTCTCGGCTAACCACATCAGCACCACGGCACCAAAAGAGGCTCCCACTTCCGTCGCCCGACACATTCTTCAGACACGTGGCAGAATCTAAAAAGTCGTCCTGCACCGGGTCCCACTGGCACGTGGACGGGTCGAACGACTCGCGGCTCGTCGTGAACCGGCCTTGCGCGGACGTGGCGTAACCCCCGATGACGTGGAACTTGCCGCGGTGGAACACCCCCTCCGCCTCGTCGCGCTCGGCCGACATGTCCGGCAGGACGGACCAATTGTCGCCCGCCACGTCATACGCCAGCGTGGACTTCAACGCCTGCTTGTCGCCGTCGTGCCCTCCCGCAACGTACACCGTCCGATCATCCAAATTGGACCCCGCGCAGGCGAAGAACGATCGCCGGCACCCCGGCATGTCGGCGCCGCGCCGCCACGCGCCGCTGACGAAGTCGTACACAAGCACGCCGCTCGACACCTCGCCGGTCGCCGGATTCCACCCGCCGATGACCACCAGGCTGCGCCCCACGCCGGCGATCCTGCAGAACATCGGCAGCCCATCGGCGCACCCCGGCGCCGCCGGCAGCCGCGCCCAATAACCCGTACCCGGTTCAAAAACGGTCAGCCGGTAAACCGGCGCCACACTTTTCTCGGAGCCAACCTCCCGGGTCGGGTCAACAACGGCCTGCGACAAAACGACCACTCCCCGGGTCGACCCGGACAGTCTCCGGCGGGTCCAGAACTCAGGAAGCCGAATCTGGCGGTTCCAACTCCGGCAGACGGCGGCGACGGCGGGGAAACTCCGGCGGGGAACTCGTACGAGGCATTCGAGGCCAATTTCGTCGGGAAGGCCTGGAATTAAGACCATAGTGGGATCAAATTGGATCAGAAGGCAGGAATTAATTCAGATTGGGGGTTTTTTATACAGATTGAAACCCTAATTTTGGGTTTGAGTAATTCTCACTTTGTGTGTGGCGGAAAGCGATGAATTCACTTCTTTTTTTTTTGTTCTTTTGGTATATTATTAGGAGAATAAAATCGAAAGGACATACGTCTGTATGTATGTATATAAAGAGAGAGACCCACACAGCGCAGCACTGTCCGAATTGGGGAAAATAGCTTCTAGAAGGTGGGCTCGATTGAAGAGATAATAGTGTGTATATATATGTCGATGGTGGATTTCTTTTCTTCCATGGCTGATTTAGTGATTACAATTGCTCTGAGATGAGCCAGAGACAGAGACAAGTGAATCAGGCGTGGAGAATGGTGCTTCTAGAAGGTATCTGTGTCTATTTGCATTCTGGGTTCATCCAGGCCGTTGATGAAATGATGGACGGTGTTGATTTCGTTAGGTATTTAAGGCATAATCAGTGATAAGTGTTGTCGCCTTTCGCTTGTTACTGCGTTTTCCATTGTATTTATATCGCATTGAGCTGTGAATGTAATAAAACATTTGCTACACCCTCTTGAAATAAACAGGAGATTTAAAAAATATTAATATTATATTAATAATAGATAAAAATTTAAATAAAAGATTGTTTTACTCAGGCGATTGCGTGACTGTACTTAGTCAAATGGATGCCTCAAAATCCTATCTAAATTAGTGGGTCCCACTATAAAGATAAGAATAATCGTAATCATAATAGCGACGGTGAATTTTTTTGTTACTATATTTTCTAATTTTTGTTATTTATTTATTTACTTTTTATATTTTTATATAAAAAAATCTTTGTTATTTAAAATATTATTTTTAAATTATTATTTAAATATTTAAATAAAATCACTAGCCAAATATACATATTACAAATGTGTGTGTTTTTTTTTAATTTTTATTTTTATTTTAAAAAAATCTAAAGTAAAATAATGTTCTATTGTGATGTTCTATAATATAAAATAAATACTATTAAATATAATATTTTTAAAGATAAAATAAAAGAATAAAAATTTGAAAAATAAAAATATAAGAAAACACACGCTACATTTTATTTAATAATTAGTATTATTATTACTATGTATTTTATTGCATTTACTATTCATTTGTATTGAAAATATACGTTCAATTTTTTAAAATTTTATCATGCAGTTACACTATTATTATAAAAATAGAGTATTATAATTTTTTTTTAATATCATATTAAATTATTATTTAGATATAAAATATGAAAATAAAGATAAAGACAATAATACTCAAACACATACATTTATTTAATAGTATAAAATAAAATATTTTTAATAAATGATGCTTGACAAAATGTAACAATCAACGAATTTAGAGGGTGTGGTGGGCGGTTTTCGGTGGAATTTAATTTATTATTTTATTTTTAAATAAATATTAAATCAGATTTTTTTATATATAATATTAAAAATATATTTGATAATTAGCTGATATTTTTTAACTGTTTTATCTGATTCAATTAGTTGGTTTAACTAATTGATTCAATTAGTTAGTTATATTAAATTATTTGATAAAATAACTATATGACATTAATTGGTTATACATAAACGACAATTAAGGACATTTATATGTTATTTTTGAAAATATTTAATTTCGTTCATTTTGATTGAGAATTTTTTTTATTAATTATTTAAAATTATAAAAATATTATAAAATAAATTTCTACTTTTTAGATTTGTAAAAATTATTTTTATTAAAAAACACAATAATAATTTATTATTGAAATTGTATAAAATATAAATAATAAGTGTTTCGTATATATTATTATATTAATTATTATTTGTTAATTTTTAATAAAAAATTATATAATAAAAATATATAATTAAATTAATAATATTTTTCTTTTCTAGTATTTGATTTAATTTTAATAGATTTATATATTTTACAAATAGAATAATTTATATGTAATAATTAATAATAGTAATTATTTTTAACTTACAAAAATAAATTATAATTTACTAAATAAAATATATTAAAATAATTAATAAATATTACAATGAAAATATATTTATATGTACGAAATAAATCATTAATTTTTAAGGATAAATAAGGAATAAATAAAATTAAAATGACAATTCTTTCAAAACACTGACTATATTATATTAGTTTTTTTTAATCCAAAAAACTCTTTAAAAAAAATAATTTACTAAACATATAAATTATTTTTTCGATTGGTGAAACAGATAAAAGCTAAAAATTCTTTTCCAAATACCTTCAAAATATATTTGTATTGAAAATATTATTTTAATTTTATTTTTTGTTATTTTCAACTTCAAATTCGACTTTCAAATCTACTTGGGTGTGTTTGTTTCGGGGTTTGGATTTTGAATTGAGATTTGAATAGTAAAAATTTTGAATTTGAATTGTTGTATGATGTGATATAAATAGGTGTTTTTTGAATGTAAAATTGATTTTTAGTATAATATGAAAAATGAAAAATAAATGTTTGATTTGATATTTTTTGGGGAAAAAATGGAAGGAATAATATAAATCTAATTCAATCCCCCAAACAAACACACCCTTAAAGAATATTTCAGTATTTTAAAATTTTAGCAACGGATATTAATAATAATAAATTTATAATATTCCAGTATTTAAAATTTTAGTAACAAGTAATAATAATAATAATAATTTAAAATATTCCAGTATTTTAAAATTTTAATAACGGGTAATAATATAATAATAATAAATTTAGAATATTTCGGTATTTTAAAATAAATAAAAAAATATATAATGAACATGGCTTTCCAACTTTTGAAAGGCAAGAAACAGATGAGGATGGACATTTTTAACTTTTGCCCGGATGAAGAGGAATATTTTTTTTATTATTTTATTAGTTTTGAAAATAAAATTATGATTATAATTATATATTCCTTCTGTCCGAAATGATACTATATTTAATTAATTAATAATAATAAATTATTTTATTATTTTATTTTTTTTATATAATAAATAATATTAATAATTTTAAAATAAATTTAATATATATAATTAAAAAATTAATAGATATTTATATATTTTAAAAATATATTGCAATAAAAAAGTATATATAATATAAATATCATTTTGTAAAAAATTAAAATTTCTATAATACAAGTAAATAAGAAATACTTTTATTTATTTATAATTAACATAAATTAATTTACAAAAATGTGTAATTTAAATGGAGATATATTTTTTTTTAAGCTAAAGATTGAAATAAAAGGAGTTTTGAGTAATGTATAATGTTATATATTATGCAGTTAATTAAATTAATTTATATTTATTAAGTATATTTTGATTTTAATAAATTTTAACCAAAATAAAAATATATCAATTATTATGAAATATACGAAAATAAAAATAATGTCAGTTGCAATGGGACTATATACATATAAAACTTATTTAACTAATTTCATTTCAACTAATTATTATTTTATATTGAATCATTAACAAATTTGTATTGGAATTGTCTAAAATTAATTAAATATATAACTAAATGTATAGTTTGTTTTGTTTTTTTTTATTATTATTATTTTTTTATGACATAAATAGTTGAGATAAGGTTGGAGTGATATTGTTTATTAGTATTAGTATACGTTATTTAATTTCTTTTTTTTTTTTTGGTATTAAATATTATTTTTTACTAAACACTTTCATTTAAAAATATATAATTACAAATAAACACGCCTTAATGAGCAAATTATCTATTCATTGTCGTGCCTCCAAATTATAATATGGTCAGAATTAATTCTATCTAGCAAAAGTAAAAAATAATATGATAGAATATTAAAAAGCAATATACTCCCTTCGTCCCGCAAGAAGGGTGACATTTGCTTTTTGCACGTAAATTTTTGAATATTAATATTATATTGAATTGTAGTAAAAAAAGATAAAAATACCTCTATTAATATGATGTAATATAAAAGTAATGACATTTGTGTAATATATTGTAAATTGAAAGAGTATTTATTATGTGAAGTAAATAGTACAATTATTAAATTAGGAAATGATAACCTTATTTTTGGGCGGACGAAAATAAAATATAGTAACTTTTCAGGAGAGAAGAAAGTACATAATTATATATATTCAAAAAGCAAACATAATGGGCCCACTCCTATCTAAAATAATTCCAAATGTTGGCTTTAACTTGGATTTTTTTAATAATTTTTAATAAAAAATTAATAATTCAATATAAAATATTATTTTTTATATTATTGAAATTATATGAATATAATAATTTTTAAAAAAATATATATAAGATATACTAGCACCTTTAGTCTTTATCCAATTTTATTCTTATCTTTTTTTATAAATAAAAAAATGAAAATAAAATAGAATGACGAATATAGTAATATTTTTACGAAAGATTATTTTATTATAAATAGTATACTATAAAACTAACATGGAAAATGCAATGAATCATGTCCTAATCGTACTTTTAAAAATAAGGTACAAGAAAATGCAAATTAAATAGATAGATAAAAATAAAATAAAAATAAAGACCATTAATAAGGCAAAAAATGAGTGTTGACTTTGTATCGATAGACGACAATTATTGCAACAAAATTCTGACGTGGAAAATGACAAATATTAAGGTTATTACGACTTTTATATAATCAAAAGGTAATTAAATATCACTATTATTGGACTGCTTTTATGTGTGTGTGTGTGTTTTTTATTCATATTTTTAAATTTAAATTAAATTTAAATATCCAGTAAATAAATTATTAAGTGTGTATATATATATATATATGATAATCACTGTCATAGAACAAACAATTTCGTTATCAAGTGTCCTAAAATATTTGGATTATCAGAGATTATAGATATGATTATAACATTAGTTGAGAAAGGGAATCACAAATTATCTCTTCGATTATTGGGCAGTGTTACAAGCAACTTTATGTCATATATATATATATATATATATTTCTTTTTTATTAATATAAGATTTTTTATTTTTATTTTATTTTTTTAAATATAACACCCCCTCCACTTTATGTCATAATTTAAGGATTTTTTTATGCATGGGTGTCGGTTTGCCTTCAAACTTTCATTTTGTGGTGTGTTTCGTTTATTTTAAAATTTAAATTTATGCCCT